TATCACAGGTATATCACAAGTATCCTACTTATATAATCGGCTAAGTGTGTCTGTTGGTGTGTATGTGTGTGAGTGTGTATGTGTGTGTGTGTTTGTCCGACCGGAAATTCATAACTCCCGTCCCGCTGTAGCTAAAGCATTCAAGTTCGAAAGAGAGATAGGCGGCTCGATGGGAATAGCGATGGTAAGTGAATGGAAGTGATAACAATCGACAGAAACGGATAAGGAGCTTTAAAAGGCAAAAGCCACAGGGTTCCTAACTCCCTTCGTATTATCGATAAAGCCTTGGCACTTTGGCAGGTGATGTAGGATGTGGAGGGATCGTTACTGATTGTTGACAAGGATGATAACGAGCCATAGAAGGCGAGGGCCTGTAGGACTGTGGCATGCTTCCTGTTAATAGTGGAGTCTTGATATTTCAATAGGTGATTGAAAATGTGACAGCATCGTAGGTACTCGGTGACGGAATCGAGAACGGTTGGTGACAGGCCAGGAGCTGATATAACTGATAAGGGATGACGAAAATCCTGGAAAGCGTAGAACCACCATCAATAGTGGAGCCTGGACAGTTTGGCATGTGGTGATTGGTCTGGCGGGGTCATAGACGACCGATGATAGCAATTGATAACAGCTGATACCGATCGATAAGAGCACTTACCAACCGAATTTACCTCCTGTAGTATCTATGATGTATTTATGATAACGACTGTTATTTAGATTACCACCGCTACTCAGCAAGGTTTGTAACGCGATGGAAAATCAAGGTTACTTAATGTTTTGATATCATTTATGACAAAGCTCATCCGACCGCCAATAATTTGTGATTCTCAACTAATGATGTACCCGTGGAAGAAAGAAGGTCCGTGATAACGACATCTTAGGGGGTAGTGCGCTTTTTGAATACTGTGCAAATGTCTTGAGTTGCTTTAGGCCTCTGAAGACGACGAGAACGTCGAAACGTTAGGCCGTTGTGATTAATAAATGTTCCACCTAACATCCTCGCACGGCACAAGAATATTTTAACCAGAAACTAGCTAATTTCCCCAACTTGTCTCTTACTTCAAACTCGGCATAGTTGTTCATGATTGAATTAATTCTGTGTCGTGTGGGTTGTTAGGTGGAACAATCCATTCAATCAACGGCCTAACGTTTCGACGCAATTTGTCTTTTTCAGAGGCCAGGGCTTCACCGCTCAAGCGGAGAAAATCCGCTGCGGCCACAGGCGACCCTCAGCAGCGAAATTTCTACTAATCGTCGGTGGTGAAACCAGCTAGTTTCCTGCTTCTAAAAGGCGCGGATTCAGACGGAAGGGGCAACGCCGAAAGATACACGTCTCATTTGCTTTCTGAGAAACAGATGAGGTGAGCTGAAGGGTCCCCGTTAAATCGGTACCAGATTTGTCAGGAACAATAGCATATGCCATTTAAAAAGCCCGAAAGATGATTCGAGGACTTAGCCGGTGACAATTTTCAATTGATGCTTCCATAGTACAGTATCAAACGTAAGTGACGCCAGCGGTCGAGGATTAAGCCGACGATCGTCGCTCCAGCGTTGACCAATAACCTTCGGCTGTCGTATGCAGCCGCGCCCCCAGTAACTCCTTGCACGCACGATACTTTCCAATCGAATTGTTCGAAGCTGAGCTTTCATAATGATATTAACAAGAAAGAAACAATGACTAGAAATTATAGAGAAGTATAGGAAATCTCAGGGGTAAACCAGGGAAAACCAGGAAATGTGGTGCAAAGATGCAAGGAAATCTCGTTGTTTTCAAAAAGAAGCAAGCAAAATGCCATGAAAAGCAAGATCGTATCGAATGAAAACTACCTAGCAATCAACGTAGAAATCAAGATCAGTGATAAAATAGAGTGAAAGAGGTACATACAATACCTAAAAATTCATCTAATAAATAGAACTTCATTGGCTGCTCTCATATTCATAACCAGTTGGGCTACGCACGCCAATGCGTGCACCACATGACCACCATTATCAGGTGCCCTTATCACTGAGCCTTCTTTGCTCCACGGGTGCATCATTAATTGAGATTCCCAAATTATTGGCGGTCGGATGAGCTCTGTCGTAAATGATATCAAAACATAAGGTAACCTTGTTCTTCCACCTAGTTACAAACCTGGGTAGCGGTCGTAATCTATATTATGGTCGTAATCATAAATACATCGTGAATACCACAGGAATTGAATTCAGTTGATACTCTTATCAGTCGTTATCAGCTGTTATCAATTCCTATCAACGGTCATCTGCGATCCCGCCATACTCCACATCACATGCGAAACTGTCAAGGCTCCACTATCAATGCCATTATTATAGTGGACCTAGGCTTTGCAGGATTTTCATTAGCCCTTGTCAGTTCTCTTGTTACATCTTACATAACCTATTAAAATTCCTAAATTCCATTATTAACAGGATGCGTTACAGATTTAGTGGCTCTCGCCTTCTATGATTTCTTATCAGCCCCTATCACTTGCTATCATTCCCTGTCGCCAATCATTTACGGTCCCTTCACATCCTACACCACCTGCCAAAGTGCCAAGGCTTCATCGTTAATACCAAGGGAGTTACGGATACTCAGGCTTTTGCATTTTAAGGCTCCTTATCAGTTTATATCGATAGTTGTCACTTCCTACCACGTACCATCGCTGTTCCCATCCTGCCATCTGTACTCCTTGCAAATTTGAATTTTCTAGGTTCAGTGGGACAGGAGTTATGAATTTCCGGTCAGACAAACACACACACATACCGACACACACACACACTTACACACAAACACACCAACAGACACACGTTAGCCGATTATTTAAGTAGGATAGTCCACGATTTGGCGAGCGACCGATCGCGCGACCAGTCGCGCGACTGATCACACCGCTGATCACGCGATCGGTCGAGGAGGCAGCGCGGCGCCGCCGAGCGATCAGTCGCTCGATCGCTCGCTCGGTGGGTCCGCGACCGGTCGCGCGATCGGTCGCTCGCCAAATCGTGGACTATGAAAGCAGTCATTACCGATTCAAGGATATCGATCGACGACTGGCGCTGTCAACAGCGAGTGCCACCGGCTGAGGCAAGAGCAACAACGGTTCGTACAAAAGCGATGAGCGTCACTTGACGTTGAACTTTCGAAAATAGCAGTGGTACCGTCCAGACTGCAGCGTCAAATGGTGACGCTCTTGCGTTAACGAGTGGCGGTCGCCCTTGTTGAAGGAGCCTATCGTCGACCAATACCGCACCATCGGAATTTTGTAGATTCTTTCCACTTCATCAACTTGATCTTTTCCAAATTCAACGACTTGTATAATGTGACGAAACTATGTCACTATGAGAGGGCTCTACGAACATGCTACATCGCAAGGGACGGCAGCATGGACAGAGACGCGGAGACGATGAAGCGTACGAGAGCTTCCGTCGCAACCAATTACATTATGCAATTGCGAAAATATGCGACTACAGAAACTGCGCATCTTTTTGTTTCCAACTGGGGAAATAATCATTTATCACAGATGGTGACATTGTGTTCCCCACATTACATGGACGTGAGATCATTCACATTGAGGTGCTTGCACAAGAACGCTATACGCGTATACAGTTTCATACTTCAAACCATTCTCGCGCCCTTTCTGAAACAGTTCGCCGCGGTCGCCGTACACAATGGCTATTCATAGCCACTGAACGATTTTTCAAATAAATGATGAGCAAGGCTGTAAGTACAAAAGTGACTTCAAAAGCAGAATTTCGCTCCCATCGATGGCTTCATGAATATTCCCATAACTACTAAACTACTAACAGCACATATCTTCGCTTTTCTTGAAGAATGTAGGCTGGAGAGTAGCTCTATGTAGCATATGTGAAAATTCTAAGTTCTAGCTAGGAGAGCAGCAAGCCTTGCTTTAACGAAGGCAACATGATTGTGACCCTTTCAGATTGGGACTGCAGATTTGGATTCTTACCTTGCCTATTATGTTACAGCCACTGAACTTGTGTTGCTTATTAAATACCAGTTGGGCTACGCACGCTAACGCGCGCATCTTATGTCCACAATCTGTTATCTATCATCAGTTGGGCTATGCATGATTATGCATGCACTGTATGTCCACGACCGCTCATCCCAGGTTAAAATTCCTGGAGGTACTTTATCAGGTGATTTCGAATTCCTGTGCAAACAGAAAGACAGGCATACGCGAGCGCTTTACATATGGTAAGGATCGTACTCATGAATGACATACAAGCATTTTTCATGCTTCGTATATACAACATGCTTCACACAGAACTACGCCTAGATTTTCTTTCTGGAAATCACGCATAAGGAGTTGAGCTCTCAAGAGTAAAGGATTCTTTCAGATGCTTAGCTATCAATAACAATTATATTCGATTCTTTCGTTTGAATTTAATTGTAGGAAACTGCGCATCAGAGATGTAATGGAAAACAATCAGCAGAGTGCTAGATGATGCTGATCCCGAAGTTGCCTATGTGGGAGTATTCCCGCATTACCTCCTCTCTTCTTTAAAAGTGATATCACTCTGTCATATACTTCCTCACAACGCCCACGTGACATTTCACACTTTTCATCGCGCCTACGTGACTTTTTGCGGACTGACACACAAACACACGTACAGACAGGCACACAAATATAGCACTTTACACATAGGGATTAGAGAAATATGAATGCAAATATTCGCTCGAAATGCATTTCAAACCCTGTTAGTCGTTCGTTAGCATCTGGAAAGTCGGTGATTCCTTTTGCGACCAATAAGCAGTTCTCGTTTTTCACGCCATATATAAGTTTTTCTGAAGTATTTGATCCTTAATCACTGCGCATGAAAAGAAAAAAAAAACTAGAACACATAGTAATTATTGAGTAGCTTTCTCCTGGTACACTCAGCCACTGAGAATGAAAGTTGGTTCCATGTACAAATAAGAACACCATGTATTCCATAAGATTTTCCGGAAGTCGGAAATCTGTTAGGACTCAATCCCTGAGATAGGAACTTCATAAAGCATCACCAGCGAATAAATCCATTTCTTCAGGGTCATCTGCCCTCGGCCAGTTCAGTAGTACGGTGTTCGGCCGTAAACCACCAATGCCAACTGACTGGTAAAGAGCAGACACATTACCGCTCATCTGAAATATTCGAATAATTGTCAACCCAATTTTACTCTTGCAATCATTGTTCACGGGCACATAAAATTACCGTATTCCCAGAGGCTCTCGAATTTCTTCTACATCACTAGAGGTTTCCTGGCCAAAATCGCTTTTCGGTAGGTGTAATCACACTATGACAGAGAATGAGTGGAATGAAGGATTTGGAAAATAAGGGGCATAAAAGTTGGGATGTCAAGGTAACAAAATAGAAGCCATCATGGTTGAAGCACACCGAGGAACTGCGGATAATTTCAATCAATATGACCGAGTTTTGATGAAATCTTCACGAGTTTGCTTTTCATCAAGCCATCATTACACCTATTTATGTTGAGATTCATAGAGAGTCGCACGGCACAAACATGGATGCAAAGTGAAACCAAGCACCGTAAGTGAAAATAGTCTCCGGTTGAATAGGGAAAACTTATCTCTCTGTCAGAAGTTCTAAGAGCGATGAGAATGGCGATGACAGTGTGAACGAAGCGTTAAGTTTCAAAGGCGCTCTCATGGAGTGGAGAGAGTCTACTGGAATGTTCTGCGAGCGAAGGTACCGCAAGTTCTGGTGAGCCATCGGACGGCAGAATTAGATTAGTTATGCTTAACAGCAGTGAATGCTGATCCAGCAGGAATCAGAAAGAGCGGTTACACACTGCTGAAATGAGGATGGAAAGACGCTGCTATGGCTGCATGCAGGAGCGGTATTGTGGCGCGCTAGACACATACTGGGAAGGTAAAAGAAAGGTGCCGAGCATAAAAATTCAGAGCACGCGACTATGAGGAACCTAGAAGAATAGATGAATGGCGTCATTAGAAAAAACTTTCCATACTTGAATTCGGACCAAAAGCTTGGGTAGGGGTATGTTGTGGAGTCTTATAAGGACATCGAAGCCTGCAAGTGAGATAAACAGGTAAATTAGGTGAAAAAAAGCTGCTCGATACAACGCGACCACTATGGTCCATATTAATTATAGGCTATCATTCACGTACACCGTGCAATCACGTGTTGCAGAGACATTCATTCATTATTTTATTCTCATTCACAAGGGTACCTGCTCTGACGTATATAAAATAGTTTTTCCGAATCCGCGCAGTCGTGCTTTTGCCATGTCTTTCACGAGACGATCTTTAACCTGAATTGTTGAAATGATTTTACCAATCACCTCAATGAACTGTACGGCACATCCATTAACGCTCACTGGCTACTCAGAAAAGCATTAATGGACATGGCTATCAATCGCTACATGAAGAGCACCTCTTGTGCATGTGATCTATCTCTGCTGTCATCAGAAGACTCTTTCAGAAATGCACACGCGATCGCTAAGCCTTGTCCTGCCTGCAAAAATTAATGATAACGGAATCGTTGTTCAACAGTAACTTATGGATTCTGGCAGGTTCCTGAGCAAGGGGCTTATTGCGAACATGACACCCTAATTGCTCCCTTTGAGAGCCCGACAAAAAAGACGCCTATTTTTTTGTATTTTAAATGGTGCGAATGAAGTTTAAAAAATATGAAGTAAATCCTATTCACTATTTATTACAAGCCCGTAAGGAACGTGTAAAAGAAGCATCAAAACAAACAGACACAGTCAAATGTTTTTACCTGATACACAAGTAATATATAACTAAAAAAACATGAAACAATAGAGAGGATAATGATAACACAAATCTTGGTGACAATACCACCAATAGGGAATGAGGGAACAAATAGCCATGATTTTCGGGGAATGGGGAAATTTCTCGTCTTATCTATTATAGAGGAGATTGACTGAGCAACTTGCGTTTTCGCTAAACTCAACATACTCTGAGCCAACTGCAAGGAAGTTCTTGGTCAGTGAAGTCCTGACCGGAGCAAAGAGTAATTTGTTTGAGTTACCTCTAGTTTTGGAAGATTTGGAGGAATACAATTTCGTAGTATTGGATGAGACTGTACCCTGTGTAATTTTCTGCACCGCCATCGAATCACTTATCACTTTCCTTCTGCCAAGTGGGTCTAAGTTCAACTTTTTGTTTTTACAACACCACGAGATATGCTATTGTAGGTGGATCCAAGTGCTATTGTGAAAACTTCGCGGTGAAACTGTTCTGAACCAGCTATGCCCTGTATAGTTTTCTTCTTGTATGGGGAAAATATAACATTCCAATATTCAAGGATACATTTCGAACGAACGTACATCTCAAACGCCTAAAGAAGGAGGTTGGCTCCTTATTATTGAGTGAACAATTGCAAAAGAAAAAGTCTAGGTTCAGCTCTAAAAACAATGCTAAGGCAGTAAACATCAAAACAAAAATCGCTAATTAATGTAAGACCAAGATGCTTTACATAGGATGCCTCCACAGCAGGTGAGCTCGACATAACGAAACTGTTTCGGACATTATTTTTGCCAAATGTCGAGCGTTGGTTTTTCCAATACATTGGTGAACTCCAAAGGCTGCATTCGTAGTCCACCGACCGGCCGGCCGGCGGACTATGGAAGCAGCTTAACCGTACATCAGTAGAGGATATTGCCTATGGCTCTCTGCATGGCAGGAAAGTCATCGGGAGACCTGATTGGTTTATAGATCTTAGCATCACCCTGCAAACATCTTACAACATATTCCATGGCTCTATACTAAAATGAGGAGATAAAATAAAAATGCCGAACGAAACTGGTACAAGACTCCCCCTTAGGGCACTTCTCTAGCAGCGATCCTGGCGGATTAGAAAGAGCTGCCAGTCTTCACTAGAAATGTGGTTTGGACAAAAAAGACTTGATCTAACTCACAAATGTCTGGTATGTTCTGACTTGTACTAACTTCCCCAGTGGTTTGGTATAGCACACCTTGTCAAACGTTTTGGGAGATGAAAGTACATGACGTCCACACATGACTTTGATCTAGGGCAGCTATCCAGTCACTAAACGAGCATTCGCGAAACTGTAGTTCGACTTCTATAAACCCACGCTGAGAAGCGCGCAGAATTTAGTCTCTTGGAAGGTGGTCAACGATAGCATCTTCGATCCTTTTTTTGAGTAACCGGCACAAGACAGATGCTGAACACATGGGTCTATAATTCAACGAGTTACTGGAGGGAGCTTCTTGGTGAGGCGCAGAACAAAACATGTTTGAAAAACAAAACATGTTTGAGAGGAGTTCCGGCACACTGCATAATAAGTTTATAAATATTTCAAAGGAAAAGCAATGTAGGGTGCGACATTCTCTATAAACGAAAGAGGAATCCCATCAGGTGTGTGTGAAACACTCGACAGCCCCTTGAGCAGCCTCATGGCTAGAGAAAACTACAGTCATTAACTGTATCAAAAGATCGGAGATTAGGTGTGCCAGAGTATGTAGCACTATGGCTCTCCTAGACTTTCTGGAATTCATCCGCTAAGGTTTCGGACTTGTCAGAGCCCGTAATTGCAAGTGAGCATGTACTCTCTCGAGTAAGCAAGTTCTCGTAGATTGTATCCTAGATATTATGCAATTAAGAAGATAGAATTTATTAGAGTTATCAATGGCTTTTCTTTCAACGGCGTAATTGTACTTGTGAAGTGTTGTATGGATTTTATTAGACAATTTTCGGTACTCCTCCCCAATTTTCCGCTGATCATGGGTGCCCATGACTTTTTCAAATAAGTATGTTTTTTGTGCGAAAAGGATATTTGTTTGTTAGATGAGAAGACAAATCTTCTACCGTCACAGGGAGTTTCCTTAGTAATACAAACAGTTCGATATAGTGACTCAAAACGGAAATGTACAGCTCATATATTCATTGATATCCTTACAGGTCCTATGAAATCAATGTATAAAAGTTATGCGCCTGTATGGTCATATTGCACGCTTTTGAACTCTCTTTCCGAACATATTTCAGGTCATTTAGTGGGGCTTTGAACACAAAACCTTCTTTCATCACTGCTGCACCGAGGTCCGTTTATCATAATATGAATTTTAGAAATTCTGTCTGTTCTTCTACCCTTCTCTTCTAATATTCTATTCATGTATTTGTCTTACTATCTCTCTTCTCTCTTATTTATAAAGCAGTAACTGGTGTGTCGATTTTTCGGTATGTCGGTATGTTCGTATGTGGGTTTGCCGGTCTGTCCGTCCGCTAAACTTTATGATTACGATAAAAGTAGTAAAATCGAAAACCCAGTTCTATCCTACATTCCCTAAACAGCAACATGTTGGGTAGGTGAATGGAATAGAGGAGTTAGTACTATGGAGTGAAGCGAGTAATGTGGAGTGGAGACTTCAAAGCGGTGATTTCTACCTGTATTGGCATCGTGCTATGTATTTTTTCCTTTTTTTCAACTTCGAACGCCATAGCGCAGATAAGGATGTGAGCCTATAATTGAGTTCAGGAACGTTTGTTATCCGAGAAAATACTGTTGAGCCTCAGAAGTGAAGAAGCACGGGGCGAGTGAGGTGCTCACCCCCACTCCGGCGCCAACTATAATACATTTTCTATTTACTTTGTAAAAGTAGGGAATGAGGCAAGCGTAAGTCGGGCGACCCGACTGGTATACATACATATAAATATTTCGCAGTTGTCTCTGTTGGTGTGTCCGTGTGTCGGTGTGCGTGTGTTTGACCAGAAACCCATAAGTCCTGCTTCAGTGAACCCAGAGAGTTCAAATTCGGTAAGAGTACATGCGACAGGATAAGGATACTCATGGCAGATAGAAGGATCAGACCGCTCACAGAGGCGTGTGCGACAGAAATTTCAGACTGGAAATTCACAACTCCTGTTCCAATGGACCTGGAGCATTTAAATTTGGCAGGATAGTAGCAGTTATGGAAGGAAAAAGAACCAGACTCCGTTCACAGGGGACAGAGCGTGCGTGAAAAAACGGTTAAGCGGAAATTCATAATTCCTGTCCGCGTTACCTAAAAAGCTAAAAATTGGTATGATCACAACTTTTCGTATCGAAAAAGGAACCTCGGTATTTCAGTAAGTAGTTGAGGATATGACGGATTCGTCTGTACTCGGTGAGGAGCCGATAACAAGTAATAAGAGAATATAAGGTGACTGAGAGAAGCCACCTACGAATCAAAATCCTAACGTCTTAGGTATATACGTTGTAGCTCTGATTGCTCAGCATGTTCCATTCGATGAAACGAAATGGTAGAGTAGGGTGATAGAGCAGTGGTGAGTGCAGCACTAGGGACCCATTGGAGGCGCTACGATGAGTAAACAAGAATTCTGTTTATTTATTGCCATTAGATTACGACCGCGACCCAGCAAGGTTTGTACCGTACTAAAGGATCCTTTTCCGCCGATATCACTTGCGACAATACTTGACCGACCGCCAGTAATCTGGAATTCCCGACTAATGATATTTAAGAGAAAGGTCCATTAGACGTCTGATAGTGGTGTTATCATCACTCGAAACATTCGCGGAAACCGCCCAGGGCTTTGGTTGCCTGATAAACGAATATTAACTGGGTATTATTTTTAGAAAGGAACATCGAGACTTACAATTAAAGGCGTAAGTACTGACTTACAATGGATGCCATTTGCACTACCCTACTAGTCCTGTGTCAAACTTCGTGTACAGGAAAATATTAATTATTTCAAAGGAGTGGAGAGTTAGCTGATTACTACAACTTTTTCAAGAAAGGAGGGAAGTCCGGCGTTAGCCTGCCATACCAACTGGTACATTTTAATACAGCTACAGTAAAGCCGAAGGTGTGAAGTGGCATACGCAATACGGCACTTCTGGGAAGCAACGTACGCCGTATCCGGGACACCTAACTCTCCATAGCATAGACTAGCAGTTTTCGTGAAATTGTATAGGGAAAACTAAGGAAACTATGAAATCTATAGAACAAGGTTGGAACGAAAACTGCATTTTCTCCAGAAGCACAGATAGGATTTCGCAGAAAGAGATATCAGTAGAATCGAGAAAATGAATGCGAATGAGTCTCTGCTGATTATATTTTTAATGACTTGGAAAGGACAACACCATTTGACAAGACTAAAGGTCTTCATGACTATCTCGCGGAGCAGTGCCTCGGGCATTGATTCGTTAGTATTCAGCAGGAGCATTCCGTAGAATCGAACAAATATCAACTGAAGAGAAAACTACTTTTGAAAAAGTTTCAGCCAAGCTACCTTCAATTGCGCTGCCAAATTTAGCATCGACATTGCACGGAGATCGATTAGTTCCTTTGACCATTGTGTCGAGAGGCAGATAAGCAATTGAGGGCGCCAGTTTTTTGGATGCGGATCCTTGTCCTCTACCTATAACAGTATCAGTTTCATTGCCTTTACTTTTTGCTTTCATATGATCCATCTCCCGTTAGGGTGGTGTATTCCAATATCTGCCAGATCCTATCCTACTTTGTTTGTACAATCCGCTAGGTGTGTATGTTTGTGGGCGAACGTCCGTTGCGCGTGTCCGTCGAAAGTAGGTCACCCCGCCCACTTCGCGCGCGGCGCACTCCACTGAGGTCTCGGGAAGACATTACAGTACCAACAAGTGTAAGTGGAGCGAAGGATTTGTATTTGTCTATGTTATCTTCTCTTTGGCTGACTACCGTGGAGAAAGCGCAAATCGTATGCCCCGCTTACAGCTGCGACGTCTGTCAAGTATCGCGGGCTGACCCGCCGCATGCGACGGCTGCGGCGTGACCTAGTTTCGACGGACACGCGCAACGAAGCGCACCCATGTTTGTGTGTGTATCGGTGCGCATATCAGTGTGTATTTTGGTGGTATGACGATGTGTGTATGTGGGTTCGATAAGAAGATCTCGCTTGTTTTCGCCTCCTTAACGGTGGCAAGTATTGAGTAACGAGGTGGCAGTAAAACACAACTGCAACACAAACACACACACAAAACACGACTTAAGTATCCCCTGGACCAAGTGTTTTTTCTTAGCTCTTTATCCTTATAACGATTTCGCATCACACTCTGCATCAAAATACTACAGTTGACAAGAAAAACGGAAAGCATCAAATGCTGATCTCAATTGACAGCAACATTGTTAGGAGTCATTCAGGCTTTCGGCTGACTAAGAATGTCTCTCATCTAAAAGTGTCCAATTGGATTTTCATCGTAGTAGATACGCTTTTGTGGGAACTCGTTTGCTATGAGCAAGCAGAAACAAAAGCAGAAACGAACAACGAAAAGGCGAAGCTCGGCTTGTATGGAATAGTAGATTTTTGACTTCGATCGACGTATTTTTCAGACAACTCTCGCATTCACCAACCTTCCGAAATATTGTTAACAAAAATTGAACCAGTATAAAGCCGGTGGAGTCATTTATTTAGATGACTACGTAGGTTGCCTTCTATATTTCGGGATTGAAAACAAATTAAATGTTAAGGTACTATTCCACTATTACAACCCCAAAAACTCAAAATTTTAATTTTCGATGAAACTTCGCCTATAGGGGTAATCCGATACCCTGTTAACGAATATGACCTTCATTTTTGGCGCTGGCGCCATTTGGCGTCAAGGGTGTTTTCACCAAATTTGCCGAAAACTTGCGTTTAGGGGTTATTTAAGGTCTTGATAACGAATATAACATCCATTTCCGTGTTCTCAAACAACGAATAAAACTTTTATTGAGCCACATCGTCTCCCCCACNTTTCGGGATTGAAAACAAATTAAATGTTAAGGTACTATTCCACTATTACAACCCCAAAAACTCAAAATTTTAATTTTCGATGAAACTTCGCCTGTAGGGGTAATACGATGCCCTAATAACGAATATGACCTTCACTTTTGGCGCTGGCGCCATTTGGCGCCAAATGGCGCCAATTTGGCGCCAAGGGTGTTTTCACCAAATTTGCTGAAAACTTGCGTTTAGGGGTTATTTCAGGTCCTGTTAACGAATATAGCATCCATTTTGCGCGCTGAGGCTATTTGGCGCGACGACAAGGCATACAGGCCGTGGGGGAGACGATGTGGCTCAATAAAAGTTTTATTCGTTGTTTGAGAACACGGAAATGGATGTTATATTCGTTATCAAGACCTTAAATAACCCCTAAACGCAAGTTTTCGGCAAATTTGGTGAAAACACCCTTGACGCCAAATGGCGCCAGCGCCAAAAATGAAGGTCATATTCGTTAACAGGGTATCGGATTACCCCTATAGGCGAAGTTTCGTCGAAAATTAAAATTTTGAGTTTTTGGGGTTGTAATAGTGGAATAGTACCAATGTTAATCATTGAAAATCGCTTTCCGTGCAGTCCACACGTGGGCTGCAGTTGTATTTTTTTGTTTTATTCATCTATATTTCCATTTTCTTACAATTTTTCTTCTCAAATCATTACATCAGGCCTAAATAAAACTGCATGTAGCGTGGTTCTAGAGGATCTTCTAATTTTACAATTGTAAAAGTGCTCTTTCAAAGGAGTACATTACCTTAGTGAATTCTTCGTTCGTTGAACAAAATCAAAAGATGAGATATTTCTAAAAGACGGTCGTCATTAGCACTTTCGCTGTTATCAACCGAACGCAAAGCTTCCAACGCAGTACAATTAAAATCTCCCCGAAACGACTTTTGGTAATGATTGGACTCATAATTGAATGACCACTGGAACGAGTGCCGGTTCTATAATAAAGATCGATAATCGCTCAATGTGGGCACTCTTATCAAACTCATTTGAAGGAAAATTCCTAAAAATTATAATTTTCTCCTGTAAACTTCGAAAAATGGTCATGGTGGACCATGAAGTTCACATGTAGGCTGCAGCCGCGGGCGGACGAAAAGCGCGCTGATCCCTCGCGTCGCTTTTCCCGCAAAACTTCGTGGTCGTCAATGGGATAATGCTTTAAACATATTCCCCATTAAGATCAATGCACTTTTGCATGCATTCGAACCAATTGTCGAAGCAGTTTAGCCACTCTCGTTGAGGTAACTCTAAAACATGCATTCTTAAAGCATCAACGGCTTGTTGTAGTGTCAAAAAACGTTGACCTCTCATTTTATCTTTCACGTGCGCTATAAGAAGAAGTCACTCAGAGACTATATGGCTGATGACTCATCAAATCGATGTTTTGAGTGCGCAAAAATGCAGTTGTTTGAGCCGATGCAAGGAGCTCGCAATGTCGTGTTGAAGAGCGATCCGTTTCCAGCAGTTGGTTTTCCTGATTTTTTGGAAGACAACTGGTAAACAAATGGTTGTATACAACTTAGAATTGTCTGTTCTACGTTGTTCTAGTGATACGGTTGCGACTTGTCCAGTTTCTCCGAAAAAACAGGCGACGACTTGCTTGGAAGTGCTTCGTGGGCGGACAGCTTTTGTTGGATTTGGCTCATTTTGAAATACCCATACGGTTGACTGCTATTTACCTTCGAGCTCATGCGCGTAAATCCATGATCCGTCACCTGTCACGATGTCATAGACGTGTTTCGAAGACCGCGTTCGTATTTTTTGAGCATTTCTTTCGACCAGTCGACACGAGCCTTTTTCTGAGGGTTTGACAAATTTTGTGGAATCCAACGCGAACAAATTTTTTTTACAGTCAAATGTTCATGCAATATTGAATCTATGCTGGTCTCCTCAATGCCTAAGGTTGCCCCTATCTCGCGATAGGTCACACGATGATCTTGCAATATTACTCCGCTCACGGCATCGGAGCAACAACTGATCTTGGAGACATCCACGGAATTCGTCCTGTAGTGAACTACGACCTCGATTGAATTCACCATACCATCGATGGGCACTGATCCTTTAATGAGCTTCATTGCCAAAGGGCGAGGGGAAGATGAAGGAGGAAGAAGGTTTGGCCTAAGTGGGGAGTGGGGACGCCAAAGCCTGAGAAAATTTTTTAAGTCAGTGTAAACAACACAAAGAGCGCTCATATGTCAAAACGTTCTGAGTACGTATAACCTCAAAAATGCCAAACTTTACGATAAAGCTGTCAGTTGCCAGATTGCAACACTGGGGTTCCTCAATCCCAAAATTTAAAAGACAACCCTCATATACCATTAAACTAAGTCAACGGATTGAAATTCTTGATCAGTTCGGGTGAGTACTAGCACCGGATTTAATCGTTTGGCTATAGATCGGTAGCAGTGCTACTTATGTTGAGCTATCCCTTCTCGACTTTCAGATTCCTGAACGCAGCGGCTCAATCCTCATAAACAAACTTAGATTTGAAATGCTAAAAATATGACTATCATACTTATCAAATAACCTATGTTTACTAGAAAACTGGAATGGTCCTTTCTTGAAATTGGATAAGAATAAATCATTGAAACATGAAGAGCCGTTCGAAACAAAAAACAGCCCTTACCTTCATAAGCGAGTACTGCGCCGTGGTCAAAGCCAATCCACGCATACCGTCTCCCCACTCCTTCTTAGCGCTAAAAACTTCACTTTGATTACTTTGATATAGGCAGTCATTATATATTGTAAAGGTATATCAGGTATACGCAATATGAGATTGAATTGCGACGTTAAGCATGGAACCAGAGCACTTTTGCGGGCGCAACTCATCGATCTCATGTTGGCATGCGTCACACACATTCTCTCCTTTCGAGATCGCAGTAATATGAAGTACAGGCAAATAATGTACAGCTGCTATAGCCAAGCCGTCGGCAATTCTGGATCACTGTTTTGAGATTTAGACAGACTAGTTTCGTGGTGTTCATGACCAAAAGCTTATCTCTGACAGTATGCGTTGCATACGCACCAACTTCAAGCTAGAGCAGCTTACCAGAAAAAGGTAAGCTGGAAATGTTTCATATGGATCTGGGAAGACTCTTCAAAGAGAACTACACTCTCCCCTCCCGTGATTTTAACATTCATATTGGTTCCAGAAAAGAGCTCGAAGAGTTCTACGTCGGGATTCATGGAGCGGAATGGTATGAGCAGCGTGAAGAGTGGCCACAATTCATATCGTCAACCCACGCAATCCATTGTAAGTCGTGAACTCAGAATCCAGGCCATTCGCATGGGCTTGGAAGTCGCATCATCAACGAGAACTTCTCTCTGAATGACGTCGCTGTTGTTCACGAAGTTTAGATCGGATCGTATTGTGATCTACTCAGCCCCGGATTCTGTTTTCATTGGAGGACGCTGCAACCAAGGATGCGTTCTCCTTGAGGGTTGAGGAAAGGTTCCGTTACAGACAATATCGAAAAGAATAAAACCGGTTCGTCGTATATTATCACCACAATGTTAGAGAATAAGGAAGGTTGTATACTCCAAAGAAACCCTTTCCTTCGAAAGTCTATCTTAAGATGATATGCCGGCGTGGTATCGCGTGAACCGAAGCTAGTTACCAACTAACATCTAGACTTACGAAGCCATGATAAGAAGCGACCAAGGAACATCTGAAACACAGAAGAGCAGCAAAAGTTGTCGACACTGGAAAGAGCGGAGCAGGAGCTTCGTCAAATTCGAAAACAAGATTGCTTCCCTTCCTCGTCATAACTGGACAAATGGCGCACATCGAAGGGCAATGGGTGATGTCATCTATGAATTCTATTCTGATACCCTCGACGGCCACTTCTCCCATTAACTTGGTAACTAAGGCTGTATAGATATATAGTTCCTTCTGTATATTGCTCTCGAAATTGAACATGCCATCAATTCAATGAAGAGCTGAGATACTTCTGTGCTCTACAACACCTTTAACGAGTTCACCATTCCAAAAAGGAGTCATAGTCAACGAAAAGGAGTAGTTCAGCAGGGGGCACCGTGTCGCCCAGCGAAAGGACATGGAAAGGGAAGGCGACTGTCGCTACTTACATCATCTCAGCTTTGCAGACAAAACCGTACTCGTAACAGCGAACACCGGGATAAAATTAACAGTTAATCAAATCCAGGAAGGTCGAGGGAATAGTGAATGAAGAGTTGATGAGATATAAAAAAATCGAGTGCCACTTTTAGAGTTTTTTTCCTTTCCAACTCCCATTCTGCTGCTGGTCAACTGCTTAGACTTTTACTTATATCAAATGGTGATGATGATTTGAATGATAAATATTAAGCTACAATCAATATTACCCTTTCCATTCCACGTATTTGTAGATAGTGAATGTGATTACACATGCGGCCAAAGCCAAATGCCAATCCGATGCAAACATGATGAAGAAGCACAGAAAGGCTCCCATCAGTGACAGTAGCCTTAAGAGTTAGAATTTAGGTTTCATGAATGCAAATCTGTTTTCATGGTTTTTATGCGTCGCAATAACGACGCACCCTTTTTGGGAGAATACGTGCGCTGAAGAGTATCCCTGTAAAAAATTATAAAAATCTGACAACATCATATGGACTTTTGATAATAAATGGGAGCCGACTTCCAGAGGACGTTACGTAGGAGGTTGTTCGATACTTTTTGGAACCTGAAACATAATGCTGTTTCACAAAATACAGGACCTACCGTTTTTTAGCATTCGCATTCCTGTTTATCAGTCCCCACCAGTCTTCTTGTAGCTTGAAGGCACGGTTCACGATCACGATTTTCATGATGTTTTGTGAGTTCTCCCTTTATTGGTCCCCAAGGGTGACAGGAAGGACCCTCTCCTCGCCTCCAAAAACTTAACAGTTAGGGCATGAGAGCCCCGTTACCGAATCGCCCGGTCTTTCCACCCCTCCACCGATGTCACGTCAGACGAGTGTCGAAGCGGTACAGATTGCAAACACTCGTTCTAGGGCCCACACACAATCAGCAGATCGCAGAATGATGAGGCAATGTCCTTCTCTCATTCTTTCTTTCTCTGTTATTCTTATTACTGCTGCGATTATTTAATTGTCTACACAAGAGGCTAAAAAGAAGTGAGCTATTTTTGCTGTAACAAGGGGTTTTCGTTTACTTATGCTTATAAGTGAATGAGTTTTCGCCTACCGTAGTTTCTTCGCACCAGGACCCACACGTATGCAATGACACACACTGCATAGCTAGTCCCAACGCCCCATTCTTCTTCATTCTTCTGGTCTCATTCTCGACCAGCCCCTTTTTAACGATTTTTCGAGGCCTTATTTTCACTTGGAAACGCCGAGTCGTGCACTTCCTTCGCCTTCATTGCAATATGTTCCACCTTATCTTCCATTTTTCGTCATAATCTGGATTACACAAAATTATCGTGAACTGTGCCTCTAAGTTCATAGACAGGAGAATACGAGGTGGGAGTAGAGGGTGGGATAAGGGAAGGAGAGGGCAGGGAAGAGTACTACGAGATCCCATTGACTCAGCACACGGGTCTCAATCTAACTCATTTCTGATAATTATGGTAAACTCGATAGTTTTGTAGGGTGCAGAGATGAACGGTCGGGTAAGTTCGCAGGTTGATTTCATCCTTTCAGGCTTGTCGGATTGTGTCCGGAGACGATCCGCCGAAGGTGGCCATTAAGCTACATATTTGCCAACCTTGTGAGGGTTTGTGTTATAAAGTATGCACATTAGCTTTGCTAATGTTGTACACTATCGACATTTCTTATCGGAGCGCAGGTGAGCTAATAAAAAAAAAATTGGAAAAAGAGTGGATGGGCCCATGCTCCACAACTTTATAAATGATTTTGCTCACACTAGCTATAAGTAATAGGTTCATGACTTATCTACATGGCTACGTCCAGGGCGACAGGGAAGCCAAATAAGTAGCATTTTGCAAATTATAAAAATTACAAAGCCTTACCAATGAAAATACTTGAAACGCGGTCTCCAGTTAGGCATTTTTAGAATTGAATGGAGAACTGCAATCAAATTCACAAATGCATAACACATTAGGAAGAAGAAGTCAAGCACCTGTAACAGCCGAAGTTTGGCTACAAATCAGCTTTATGTAAAACTCCAAAAATAAACCTCAGCGATTTTGTCGACAGCACCGAGAAGTATAGCCAGTTCAGCGATAAATGTTGTCAAAAGCAAACTGGAACAGAAGGCGTAAATTTATTTGGTTTTATAACTTCATCTCATTAATATATCCAAGAGACTGCTCCGAAATGGTTTGTATCAGATCGCCCACTGGTATCTGCTCAGAAACGCCGAACGGTAGGAAGGAGGGAAAGACAAACGCGCTTCGAAAATCGGAGATTGATTAATATTAAAACATCCCATTGCCCTTTTCACCCAAAAAAATCAAGCCTTCAACCAGCACAAATATCATGTCTGAGTTGGTAGCAGAATCACATAAAAGGATATCAGCACTTACATTTCCGTTGGCTGGTCTCTCTGAAACAAACGCCACTACGATTTTGAATAGAGTGGAATGCGTAACCACATCCAATTAACAAGGTTTATCAACAATAAGAACAAATTTATCTGAAGTTATCCCTTTTATTCATGAAGTAGTGACTTGGTGTGTCGGCTTGTCTGCCTGTACGTCCGCAAATCTTTGTGATTACGATAAAGACAGTGATATGGAAAATCAAGCTATCTCCAGTATTTCCTTCGTATATATGAAACAATGGGTCAGGTAGTGGAGTGGAGTGAGTAATGGAGAGTGAAATGTGTACATGACTGTGATTGTGATTTGAACATTGTGATTTTGAGGATTGGCATAGTTCTGTGTGTGCCCATACAAAATTCGTGGGTGATAACGCAATTGGAAGGCCTCCGCTTTTTTCAACATTGAGCAATAAAAGCAGGTAAGGATGTAAGCCGACTTTGCAGATCCATCATGGTGCGTGGTGGCCTTTCTTAACCGAAAGTATACAATTTCCTCACCTAACTGATATGCTTAAGGGGGGGGGGGGGAAGGTGCATCGGATTGGGTGAGTCAATTGTATGTTTACTTCATATGTGATGCCAACTTTTTACAATCATATCACCCACCCCAGTGCACGTCCCTGAAGCTTACGCACAAACTACATTTTTTTGCCTGAACCGTCTCTGAGCACAGGTGAGATCGGCTACCTCTTCTTCTCTGCACCGAGCCTCTCGTAAGCCAGGTGACCCGACTGGTTATCATACAACATGAAACTCACCCTAGCAAGGGTTCGTTATTAGCAGTGACGCGGGCAAACGGTGCCAGGATAGGTATGACGTCATCCTTGGCTATAGACTGTAAGAGGCGAGGTGCACCTGAAACTCGAACAGAACTGGATTGGTTGCCCAAAATTTTGCTGAAAATTTTTTTAACGCTCACTGCACAAACACTGGAGAGCGGCACCGAATGTGCTCAAGAACGATCCGACAGTTACCACCCATGGCGATGGCCAGGCCAGAGTCGACACCACCATGTTATTGTCGATTGATCGACCGAATCTCAAACGAGGAGGGTAAGGTTTCCATAGTTGGTGCTATAGTTGATAATGGAGGGACTCCATGATAAAGGTTTTGTGATATTTTTGTGTACAGAACATTTTCAGTTCAATTCTTCACAGAACGTAGTTAGTAAGGTAGTGAGTGAGAAGGGTTGGTTGTCCACTCTGTCTCTTTGAGCGTCCCAGTCCTCCAAATACATCTTCAGACTTTCTTCTTCTCTACACATTTCACACCCGCAGTGCTGCGATTTGCATTATAGCCCGTAAGCGTTCGGTGATACTGATTCCCTTAAATCTCTCCGTGGAGCTCCCTAGCCGGGTTGAGTGCTACATGGAATCAGAGAGATGAACAGTATTTCTCCTTCGGCTGTCACAAAATAGCTTAACAACAGTCCCCTTCGATGAGCAGGTGCTGTCTAGCTGCGAAGTGTTTATACATATAGGAGGACTGGGACTAGAGCCTACAGCTTAATGTCTGCGGTACAGGTTGTAGATGAATGCTTGGGTAAGGCAGAGAAAGGGCTAAGGTTGTGTTAGGGAAATTTTCATGTCGGTGGGGTAGCTCAGAAGTTATTTTAATGTCTGCGGTACAGGTTGTAGTTGAATGCTTGGGTAAGGCAGAGGGAGGGCTAAGGTTGTGTTAGGGAAATTTTCATGTCGGTGGGGTAGCTCAGAAGTTATTTTTTGGTGTTTGAAAACCACTATCCGCAAAATCAGCTATCTTTTTTATGCCTTTTCGTGCAGGGCTGTAAAGAATTGAAAATAGCCCGAATATGGCGAAAGTGTTGAAATGGGATGGGACATCAGGAACTGCTTTCCACACTCTGCAGCTGACGAAGTTGAGCTCGATGCGTTTTACGACCAGCTAAAGGAGGTGTCCACGACGGGAAGCTCTTTTACAAAATCGTTGTTGGAGTTTGCAACGATAGGCTTGGCGAAGCATCAGGCGAGGAGTACAGGGTTAGAAACTTTGGAATGGGGACTGGGAGGATAACGGAAACGTCTAACAAGCCTTCTGCCCCTGGCTCGACTCTTCCCAAAAGCCCTTTTTCCCAGAAGAAGGTCTATCGCCGCTGGACATGGGAAAACGATACAACTAGTGGTAAACTGGACCACGTATTAAAGAACAGAAAAAGATGCTCACTACATACTGGTATGGCACCATCTTTTTGCAATGGTTCTGACTATGATCGCGCTAAGATCAGATTTAACCACTAGCGCAAAGAGCAAAGGAGCGAGTTGAGCACGATTGAGAGTTTTTGAGCGAAACTTTGTTTCGAAAAACCTGGTAGGTCATGGACTCGACGGAAGACTAAGCGCGTTGCGTTGGAGTCCCCTTACCTGAGCTGAAGAGGCTGAGCTTTGTTGAATGGATACTTTCACTCACACTTCAGGCGCGACGAGGGGGCTGCTCAGAGCAAAAAGAAGCTCAACGCTTGACGAGAACGTCACGCAACCTGAAAGACTAGAAGCAAAGATCAGTTTTAGACAAGCAGTGCGGCGAGACCTTCAACTATTCGGGGAGAGGAAACTACCGAAGGTAGCTTTACAGAACCGATCTAAGGAAATGCTGACGAGATTCTAGGACCACAAAACTCTACTTTCACGTCTGAGGAAGGGAGACGGATTTTATACAACATCAAGAATGGGATGTAGGAGAATACACAGAGGTTTTACACTAACTGTACCGATCCATCCACAACACATGTGCGAAACCCAGAAATCTCCACTGAAGGAACAGCACCTCGGATCTTTTCTTCGGAGGTATGAGTCGCCACTGCGTGCCTGAGAAGGAGCACCACTTTAGGCCCAGACAAGATTCAACCGACTTTCTTCGTCGAGGTAGTCACGAGCTCCGTGCACTTCTTCTAACACACATATATCTCACCTCCAGAAAGAGCGGAGCCCTCAAAAGGAGGAATCGCGGTTCTGCATTTTTCACGAAAAAGGAGATCGGGATTATCCTTACAATGGAGCTCAACCTGGTAACCAGGCCGGAATTTGGAAGCGATTCAGCTATCTAGAACAAATCATCGAGAAATTCGAATGTCCCTTGTTCTAACCAGTGTTGACTATGATAAAGCTTTTAACTCTGTCGAAACGACTGCGGTTTTGGCAGTGCTGGTCGATTAAAGAGTGAGGCTTCTCTATGTTAGACTAGCCAGTTGTAGTAGTCGCTGCGGTGCAACGGTGCAGCTATTTTAGAGATCTCTCGCCATTTCCACGGAAAAGAAGTGGAAAGTTGCGACATTATTTCGCAGAACCCAATGAACCAGAAAAGAAGGTAGGGATGCGGATCAACTGAACAGAGACTCAATTTATAAAAAACGCTCAAGCTGACGAATGTCAAATTAGAATTAACGGTATCCTATCGAAGAGATCTTGTCCTACGTTTATCTCAGGCGTTCCAAGAAGGCGTTCCAGGAAGGTGGACAACGACATAAAGTTCAATTCAATTTCACAGTTCTACCTACGTTATGTTACGCGTCGTGTACATGGGCGACTAGCGTATTCAAGGACCTTTAGGAGAATAACAGGACACTCGGGCAATGTATTTTGAGATTAGACTGGCCCACCCATTATCGAGCCAGACTATGCAGCTCCGACATGCGCAGGATGTCTTACCTTCGCGATCTGATGGATTGCATGAAAAAAGCCAAATTCAGATGAGCCGGTCACCTCATGAAAAGAAATGATGCCACATAAATAAGAACAAGTGCTGTTAAGGCTCCCGTACGGTCTTTACGATTCACATAAATAAATAAGACACCTTCCTGGAACGCCTTCTTGGAACGCCTTTACGATTCACATAAATAAATAAGACACCTTCCTGGAACGCCTTCTTGGAACGCCACATAAATAAGAACAAGTGTTGTTAGGGCTCCCGTACGGTCTTTACGATCCAAACGAAAGCCTATGCATGATGGGTGACCGGCTGTGACAATCAATGTAATCAATGTAATAGTAAAGTCTGGGTCGTATATAAAGGTGCGCTGAGGCGAACTGACGAACTCAAGCATTCTGTGCATC